TAGAAGCTGTTTAAATACTAGAAATTAATTGTTTTAAAGATCTAGTAAGCTGTACTAAAGTATTTATTATTGATTTAAGAAGAATACGAAAGACGTCGCACCTACGTATTCGTAGGTCCTCTAAATGTCTAATTGTATTCTGTCTAAAGAGCTAGCTATGTATAGGAAGATAAAGAACTTATGTAGACGCTACGAAAAGAGCTAGTCTCTTCGCTTTCGCTTAGGGCTTGTAATATAGTAGCTAATGAATTGAAGGTATTTATTATAATCGAAATAATTATTGTTTATATGTTTATTATATAGTAATAACCTTATATAGTATTATTTTATGTATTGATATCTTAAATGTCAGGAATATAATCAAAATAATCTTAACTAGCATTTTTGACATTTCAGTCTCAACTTTTTTTAGTATTATTATTATTATTATTCTAATTTTAATTTGATTTAAATAAAAAATTGATATTAATATATTAATATTAGTATATTAAAATATTAAAGTATATATAAATAGTTTCTATATAGTATAATAAGAACTTTGTTCTTCTTTTATATTAAAATTGTATTAGATATTCTAGTCTTAAAAATATATAATATTCTGATTTTAAATTGATTTAATATTCTAATCTCAAATTAATTTGATATTCTAATCTCAAATTGATTTGATATTCTAATCTTAAAAATCATATATTATTTTGATTTCAAAAACTATATCATTTCAATGTTAAAAGTTATATTCTGATTATAATATAATATAAAGTATATTGCATAATTATAAATTACAAATTTATAGATTTAAGATTTTTTTTTAATTTCTTAAATTTATAAATATCTTTCTTTTCCTTTTTCTTTTTGTGTTTTCTTTTCTTATCTTTCTTACTTTCCTCAATCTTCTTCTTCTTCTTCTTCTTCTTCTTCTTCTTCTTCTTCTTCTTCTTCTTCTTCTTCTTCTTTTTCTTTTTCTTTTTATTCTTATTTGTATTCTTAATTGAAATTAGAATATTAATATCCCTATAAATTTGAATTAGATTAATACTTTTCAAATTGAGATTAGAATATTAATATCCTTATAAATTTGAATTATATTAACACTTCTAATTGAGATCAGAATATTAATATTCTTATAAATTTGAATCAAACTAACACTTTTCAAATTGAAACCAGAATAACAATATTTTGAAAATCAAAACGATCTGAAATAGCATATACTAGACCCCAACTAGCACTTTTGATATTTAAGATATCAATACATGAAATGATACTATATGAGGTTATTACCATTTATTATATTATCTTTTATCTATATTATTATGATTAGTTAGCTTTTCTTTTTATTCTTTTTATTCTTCTTTCTCTCTCTCTCTTTCTTAGAATCTAAGAGTATAAGAATAAAACAAGTATAATTTTTAGGACATGAGAGTAAATTGTCGTATATAATTATAATAACTATCTTATATTTTAAATTAAGAATTGTAAATTATTCAAAATTACTAATTTTCTATAACATCATTATTGAAATAAGTATAGTTCTCTATCTAGAATTTTTTGATAAATACAAGAATCGGATAAATAGTCCTTCTTAGTTTTACTCTATTAGTAGCTTTAGTCGGAGTACAAACTTATCTCATCTAATCAACATTTGAAAGTCGGAGGTTAAGCTGTTGATAAAGTTAGACCTCTTGAATATAAGAATGGAAGAGTATCTGAAGGCAAAGATTCCTTTAAATCTCTTATTACTTCTAATAAGGATTATTAATTTATGCTTCTGATTCAGACTGTTATGTATTTTTCGTTGATCGATGTTGGGCTTGCTAAGTGAATAATTTCATAAGGTCGACCTATTCAACTGCAGCTACATAATCTACATGGCCATTGCTACTCCTTTTTTCTCTTTCCCCTCAAGAAAATGCATAATAACATGTTGAAGAAAATCCTTCATCCGATACAAAATTTGGTGAGGCCACTGAAATGTATTTAAGATTCCTTATTTTCACACAAAATGAAGTCATTATATCTCACCACACCATCCGTTCACTTCCTCATTTAATTTTAACAAAGCTTCTGCAAGCCAATCTTCTATGCAGAATATATTATCATGCCTCAACCCAGTCAAGGAACTGGTTAGGATCCATCTCAAAGGAAACGGTAAACTTACCCCATTCATATATAATGTGTTCGAACATACTAGCCCTCTCCCCGTTTCCATCTCTAGCACTAAATCAACACTAACCCTTCCATCATAGTACATGACTCGACCCCGTCCCCTCAATGGAAACAAAACCAATACTCCAGCAGTAATAGCAGCCACTAAGATTGAATATGAAGCCAAGAAATTCGAATTCAGAGCAATCTATAAAATGCTTGAAGTCGCAGAAGCTGAAATTATAGCTGATTTGAAAAAACAAGAGAGGAAGAAGCTGCTGAGAGAGAAAATAGAAAAATGTGTAGCTCATGCTCGGGCGGAACAGAACAAGGAAGAAGAGCTCAGGGAAGCTGGAAACATTAATGCTTCTAGTAGAGGAAAAAAACGTCCGGAGAGAGCGAGTAGTAGTTCCAGAACAGATAAGTCGAAGGGAGAAGGAGCTGCAGGGAAATAGGTTACTTAGATGCAATCCGCTCCGCGGAAAAGCATGAGTTGTGAAGCTGGGAGTTTGAGAAATTGGAGATGGAGTTCGGTTTCTTGAATCTTGGGTTTAAAGTAGAATAGGTATATCCTATCTCAAGAGTTAAGTATCCAGTTCAAAGCATCTCTTTTTTGTGTCATTCTCTTCTTAAGTCAACTACCCCACTTTCCGACCACCCCCTCTTTTCGACCACCTCAAAAACCACACCGCTTTGAGTAATTATAAAATTTATACTTTGAATAACTCAACAATGCTTTAATCAATTGATTTGAAATTTTGATATTATTATAATTGTGATATGAAGAATAGATATACCGAAGAAGATATCGCAGAGGCTCTTAGAGCGATTACAAATGGAGCAAGCATACGAAGAGCTAGCTTGGATTATGGTGTTCCACGTACCACACTTCACGATCGAATATATGGTGGAGTTTCGCATCAAAAAGGCGCCCAAATACTTCAAAAGTTATCTCCAATTCAGGAGAATCGACTAGCAGAATGGATATTAGTACAGGAAGCTCTTGGTACTAGCCCTACACATCGTCAAATCAGAGAGATGGCAGAGCACCTCCTTATTGTACGAGGGGAGGATCCCTCACTTGGAAAGAAATGGATACATAGCTTTTTTCGAAGGCATCCTAATATTGGAACTAAGAAGCAACATCAAATCGATTCTGCACGAGTTTCAGGTGCTACATCTGATATTATTAAGAAGTGGTTCCGGAACCTCGCAATCCCTGAAATCAAGGCTATTAAGCCGGCCAACAGATGGAATATGGATGAAGCAGGTATAATGGAGGGTCAGGGTCTTAATGGACTAGTAGTAGGAAGCACTGATCGAAGATTTATTCAAAAAAAGCAACCTGGATCTCGAATTTGGACCTCTTTTATAGAATGCATTTCAGCCAATGGAAAAAGCATTACTCCCCTTGTAATATATAAGGGAAAATCAGTTCAACAACAATGGTTTCCAACAGATTTGACTCTATTCAAGGGTTGGAACTTTACCGCTACAGAAAATGGATGGACTACAGATGCTACAGCTTTAGAATGGCTGAAAAAGATCTATATCCCTCAAACCACCCCTATTCAGCCGGAAAATTCAAGACTCCTCATTTTGGACGGACACGGAAGCCATGAAACTACAGCATTTATGTTAGAATGCTTTAATAACAACATATATCTCTTAATTCTCCCACCACATACGTCACACGTACTACAACCACTCGATTTATCTGTGTTCTCACCCCTAAAAAGTGCATATCGAATCGAACTTAATAAATTAAGTCTATTATCCGATTCCTCACCAATTGGAAAGCGCAATTTCCTTTCTTGCTATCAGAAGGCTAGAATAGAAGGTTTAACTATTCAAAATATCAAGTCTGGGTGGCAAGCTAGTGGTCTTTGGCCCAAAAATATGGCTAAACCTCTTATGAGTCGACTTTTGCTTGAAAATAGCAATAGAGAGGTTTTATCACTTAATCCTGAATCTGATGATGATCCTATTCTTCAATGGAATATATATTCATCGTTTATTCAATGGAAAACCCCTCAAAAAGGAGCCGATATCAGAAAATATAGAGATATAATGATTCAAGAGAAGGAGATCGATTTGCCAACACGAAGATTACTATTTCGCAAGATTATAAAAGGATTCGATGCTAAGGATTATGAACTCTTAGAGGCAGAGAATAAGATTAGAAAGCTAGAATATCAATTAGATGAAGCATTACCTAGAAAAAGGCGAAAGGTTGTGGTATCTCCAAATTCGAAGTTCGCAGGGATTAGAGCTATAAGGCGTACACAAATTGAAGCTGGAGATCGTGAAGATGAGGTAGATGATAGCTCTAGTGCTATAGAAAGTGATTCTACAGGCGATTTCATTGAAGTTCAATAGTTATTGAGTTATTAAAGTTTTAAGTGTAGATAATATGAATTTTTTAGGTGGTCGGAAACAGGGGGTGGTCGGAAAGTGGGGTAGTTGACTTGTGCTAGAGATACCTCCTACATTTCATTTTCTGAATTTTCAAAGACAAATTGGAAGTAGTTAGTTTTGACTATCTAATTACCTTCCAACAATGATGGAATACTCATCATAAGCGAGAGTGAAAGAAAGAAATAGTAAGTTGCTTAATCACTTCTTTGTACATTGGCTTTGATCAATTTCTCAATACAACTAGGTACCTATTTGAAAATCACTATCACAAACGAAGATTTACAAATTCGACAATAGATTTTTATTCAAATTTTAATGCGAGACCTTAACTCAAATTCAAATCACAACAATTAAGAAATAGAATCAAATCTGAAGAATACATATTTTCTCATACTCAAAATAATAGATTCAGAAACCTATTGCAACATTACCCCTCTTTCCTAAAAATCCCCAGCCCCCGCGCCACCTCTCATATGTACCTCCTCCCTCTCAAATCTCTCATCTCCCTCCGTCCCTACCATCAAATGTCCCACATCCCCAGCAGAATCCTCCCCAGCACCCCCTTTCACCCCCTCACCTACTCTCTCCCCCTTCACAAACTCATCCGCCACCCTCTCAAACCTAGCCATCGCATTCGCACGCGCATAATCCGCAGTCTGTATCCCCGTCTCCCGAAACACGAGGTGATTAACGGGATGTCGAAGGCGAAATGGAGAGTCGTGGGATGGGATTCCAAGGCGTTGGAGAGCTCGCGTGCGGAATATATTTACGATTCTGCCGAGGCGGTGATCGCGAGGATTTGGGGGTGTGGGGGCGGGGATGGAGGATACGATTTTGCCGAGCTCGTCTGATGCGTCGTATTCTTCTGAGAGGTAGGAAGATGACGATGAGTACTCATTTTCCTTCTCTCTGCCAGATATACTAGCAGACCGATGAAGAATCTCCTCCTCCCCACAAAAATCATAAACCGCATCTTGGAATCCCAACCCCAATTCTTCCCAGACCTCCCTCTCCTCACCCCCATCTACATCCTGTACCCACTCCAAACACCTCCTAAAACATCCCCCCTCCCACCTCGCAAATACCTCCACATCCTCATAATCCCATATTTCACTACTCTCCTCCCCAAGCAATATATCCGCACTGCCCGGTCGTTCCATATCCCCATCAATACCATTCTCTAACGCGCCGGAATTTATCCAGAGAAACAGTCGATGTTGAGTTAGGGCCCATTGATCGAGTGGGGAGTCAGAGTATCCATTTAACTCTTGGAGGTGTTTTTCGTGGAGGGGGAGTTGCGCGAGGGAGAAGGAGGTCAGGATGTGTGTTGGGAAGAGGGGGATTTGATAGGTGAGAGCGATGATAGGCCAGGGATTTATGTGGGGAGATTGGGGGTGGTGTGGATGAATGGTGATGGGGATGGTGAGGTGGATGGGGGGGAGGGAGATTGGTGGTGAGGATGGGTGATGGGTGGATTTTTGTGTCCTGGAGATGGTTCTCCTTTATTTGTTGTAATTCCCTGCAATGATGAGGGAGAATCTGGAAAACTCCCTCATTCCCATTCTCTAATCCATCAATATCCTCAATCTCCACCCCATCCTCCATATTCTGATCTCTATCCCCCAACACAGGAGGACGCGGAGGTGTAGATCTAGACATATCCATATCCAAATCCACATCTCCTTCATCATCCCCCTCCTCCCCCTCAGACAACTCCCTACACAACTCGTCCTGCTGCTCTTCCTCATCCTTTTCTTCCTCTTCATCATTATCATCATCATCATCAGAAGGTGCAAGAATATCAATCTCGTTAACCGTACGGCGATGTGAAAATCCATAATAATGATACATGGTGCCGATGTCGGGTGAGGGATAGGTACTTAAAGAAGAAGTTTGGGAGGCGAGATAGTGTGGGAAATGGGGGGCTCGTATGGCGGAGAGGTTTTCAAAGATGGTGCGAGGGAGGGGAGTTGGTAGGGACGCTGGTAGGGGAATTGCGAAATCCTGGATTAGAGGCGTGCCGAGTGAGAGGTTAGGTGTGGGTTTTTGTATTCCCGTGAGAGTGGGTGGTTTTCCGAGTGTAGATGTGGAGTTCTCGGCTGTTTGATGAGTACCGGGAATTAGATTCCGAGCAACAATCTTCCGAATTCTCGCGAGCTCTTCTAATTTTCTATGATAAGTAGTCATAGACTCCTCGCCAGATCCATCATCATCAACTCCCAAGAGATCAGTGTCGTTAATATACTTAATCAGCTCATCAGTTGTCGGAGTCGAGAATCTGCTTGAGATGATGGTAGGCCAAGCTATTGTATTATCCTCATATCCTTCATCTCCATCATTTCTCTCCGAATCCAGAATAAAATCACCATAAATAATCTCATCATCTCTCATCTGCTGATCTGCAAATCCATCACCCCCCCTCCTCTTTTCTTTTTCGGGAGTTTGATAATAAATAGAAACTCCACCTTCGGAATCAGAATCTGGAATAGATGAGACGTCGAAATCTTCTTTGCTTTGGGCGAAATTGTCTTGACTGTTGGAGGTGGATACTGGGGTGAGAATTTCTGGGAGGTGGTTGGAGTTTGTTGATGACATTTTTTGTTCTGTTGGGTTTCGGATGGAGATATTATTTTCAAAGTTTCGAGTGAAAATGGAGAATGTGAGAAGTAAACACTAAGTTTTCGAAGTCTTTCGATGGGGTGTGAAGATATAATTGAGCTTAAGGTATTGACTCTTGAGAGATATTGTTGTTTGAAAGTTGTTCAGGAGTTATTGAGGTTGTTCAAGTTATTGAAGTACTATGTAGATGAAAATAAAGATGGACTGCTTCTATCGACTTGTAGGTATTTAAACCATATTAGAAAGTCGTCATGCAGTACGCAAGTGTCTAGAAAATGCTAGTGTTGTTGTTACGGTCTCTACGGCTTATTTGGAGTGTATTTGATGATGGGATTGTTTACTGAGTATGATGAGCAGGTAGAGAATATAGCACCATACGGAGGAAATGAGTTCAGTACGGTTTATGTTTTGCCGAGTATTTAGAGTTGTTTCGATGGAAATCTATGGGTGGAAAATGCGGATTGTGCTGTAGTAAGCATATGAGGCTACTATTATAGAGCACTATACACTGTAAAACCGGTCATTCTAGAAACTAACAAGTGCCTATGATATCTCGAGCCTCACTGGAGGTCTAAGACAAGAATATGAGATGTGGTTAACAAAAGTGTTGAATATTAGGATAATCTAGGTTCTATGGTTCTGGTGTATTTACAATTATCGTTCAATTTACGAGGGCGCGTGGACATATATTCATTTTGGGCTTATGTTGAGTTGATTCCGACGAGCTTAATGAAGCAATGGCTATTTACTCATTACATTGGTGGATAAATTCGAGGATTTATGAGAGATCTCACTTGGCGCTCGATTTCCCAGATGAGTAGTATTAAAGCACATATCTTTAATCCAATGACCGATGTATATTTTCCAGATGAAATACTTGAGATTTATAAATCGCTTAACAGATTCGGGGTAGTGAGTTGGGAGAAAAGGAGTCGCGTAATTATTTTCTAGCCGAAGATTATCTTGTTTGGATTGGTCACGGTTTTGATATAGCGTAGTAAAGATAAAATCGCATTTCATTTTCTTGGATGTGTTAACAAATCCTTGTGGTATTCAGGATTTCATAATTCCTTTGCTAAAAATCATGGAAGATATCACTCAAATATCCGTGTTGGTTGCAATCCACCAATCAAATAGCCAATCACTCCAAAATATGAAGTCCCAAAGAACAAGACAGAAACATCAACCAAATAAAGCACAACCCGAAAATCAAATAACAATCCCTAGCAAAATGCTGTCTTCCTCTCGATCAGCCACAAAGCGGCAATCATAACCCCTGTCGCTACCGCCGCCATACCAAATTGCATTTCGTCTTCTTCCTCCGAGTCGTTTCCATCACAAGAAGTAGAATCCGAGATATCAAGATCACCAAAACTAATACTGGTAAATTCATCAACAGGTTTATCGATTTCTGGATTCTGATTCTCAGGAGTACCATGACCTTGTGGAGAGTCCTGAGAGTCTGCGTCTTCCTTTGTGTCTTATTTGTCAGTGGCGCCCACATGTTTGTTGCTGTGTTGGATCTACTCACTTCCTCCTACTTCTGGTTGTTCTTGTGGGATTGTGTCTTTGTCATTGACTATGGGGGATTCCATCACGGGAGAAACTTTGTAGAGAATTTGTTGCGATTCTGCAGTTTCTTCATGGTCCTTTTTTCGATCTCGCGGAGAGCAGTAGCTTCTGACTCGACTTCATTAGGTTGTTGTGATTTTGTCGATTCTTGTTTGTCTTTCTCTTTGATTGTAGAGGAAGGAGTACATTCTGGTTCGACTTTATTTTGTTGCTGCGATTGTACCAGTTCCTCCTCATCCTTCTCGATAATTTGTTCAAGTCGTCTAACTTTACACCCGTCTTTAATGTATTGTTGGGCTATAGCGGAATACTCTCGAATCTCATCGTCTGTTTGTTCGGCGAAATCTGCGAAGATGTTGCTTTCACGAGATTTGTAGATATCATGACCGAGACCATGGCTCTTTTCAGACTTATGATCCATATGAACAAAGTCATCTTCGATATCGCCTGTCGCAACGGCTTGTTTTTCTCCATGATCTTTGCCCTCATTTTGCACCCCCTCGATGATCTGTCTGGCACTCTTCAACTGATCCTTATCGGTACTAGCATCTCTCTCCGCCAGCTCCTTAAAAAGTGCCTCGAGGATCTGAATTGCTGATTTCTCATTTTCATCCTCCTCATCGAATTCATATTCTGCTTCAGCAATGATCAATTTTGGGATTCGTTTGCGCATCTCGGAAGCACTAAGACCAGGCATCTGCTTCTTGAGGAAACCAGACGTAGGTTCATAGGTCTCTTTCTCCTTCTTCAAAGCATCTTGAAATTCTTGCTCACGGGCTTTAGCAGAACCTCTTAACTTAGCGTAGCGTGAGAAATATCCAGTGTTCAGTTCTGGAAGAGAGTTACAGATAGTCTCGTCGTCAGCTTCGATGCTTTTTTTATTCCTAGATTGAATTTCTCCAAATCTGTCTGAGAGCTTTTGGAGATCTTCTTCGGGGCTTACAGTGAGATGTGAATACTCGACTGAGGAATTCATAAAATGGTCGGAGGAACTCATTGATTGTTGTGGACCATCCAATGACTTGCTCTTGAACGATCTTTCGATTCGAGATCTAGATCTTAGTCCTAGTCTACCAGCTCTCTGACGCGCATGCTGAACATCAACATAGGTAGAATCATCGGTTGACTCGACTGCTTCAATGTCATCAATTTCTTCGAATAATTCATTGAGAAGTTGGGTTGCAGGACCTGGGACCTTTGATCTCTTGGGACGTGGAGTTGTGAGATCAGTGGGAAGACCAGGAGTTGAAGAGAAGACAGACATGCTCTGGGCTTGGGGCTCAGATGAAGATAATTTTCTGGATACTGCTTGTGAGAGAGCAAATCCTGTGTTGAAGATGGCTTTGAGAGTGGGACCGTCTGCTTGAGACATGTTGTTTGTTTCGATTTTTGATAATGTAGATTGGGTAAGATGATTTTTTGTCTGGAAGACGATTTGTTTTTAATCTTGGAAATTATCTGCGTTGGGAAGATGATGTTCTTGATAACATTTAGAGTGGAAAGAAGGAGGTTTAAGAGTGTTTGTGAAATCTTTTTGTACATAGTGATTATAGCTACGGTTATACGGTTTGAAAGTTCATAGGGAGAAGATACTGTGGATGCATTATGAATGGTTAGTGAGGAGTACTAGTATAGGTAGTGTCTACGGTAGTAGAAGTGTTCAGTACGGCGTGGATTTTGCTACGGCTGATTCACGCAAACCAATGAATGTAGTTTCTTCGAATCACTTGTGATGGATATGTGATTGGATCAGCCGATGAAAATCGATGTGAAGTCTATAAACTCTCGTAGATATGTCTTGTTTGCTCTGTATATACCGCATAGTCCAAGATATAGCTAAACATAACTTCGGTATTCCATTGACATATTCGCTTACCATCGTGTGGGGGGGTGAGCCGCGGAACAATATAATCCATAGAGCCTTTTCGGGACAAACAGTGTCAAAATTTGACTTTTTATGACATAATATAGATTTCAGTCCTATATCGTAGTGGAAATACTCACACTAAAGATTACATATTTATCGAGTAGCAAAAAGTCTAATTATTACATGCTATTAAAGTTATGTAAAATGACGAATATTATATACCTATGTAATGACTCATTTAAGCTTATCTTGGTTCATGACTAGCTTGAACTAACGTCGTTCATCAGGACCCGTTAAATGTCAGGGGTGCACGTGACTAACCGACATCCCTACATCTTACACAACCCTATATCTTACACACTTTTATTTATTGAATTAAAAATCAATTATAAATTCAAAAATCATTATAATGATTTCAAAATTAATATATAAAAGTTTCAAGAATATCGCAAATTAAAACTGAATTTTTGGGAGATTTAAAATGGAAAACAAAATATTAATTAATTTAAAATATAATAAAAAACTATATTAGAATTTATTTATAAAACTAAAAGTTGGTTTTTCAAAAAATTTATGTTAATATTTTAAGAAAAAAGTTTAAACATTTAAAAAAAACATTAAGAATTAAGTTTTAAATAAGATTTTAAAAGTATATTTAATTTAAAAAAGATAAAAAAGATTTAGAAATTGGGTTTAAAATATATTTACTTTTCTTTTGATAAAAAGAAAAAGAAAAATTATAATTCAAACTAGATTTATTAAGTTTAATCTTTAAGTATTATAAAAGAATATAATATAAGAATAATAAAATCATTTTAAAAATAATAAACAATATAAAGATCAATATTAAATTTATTATAAGTTAATGAAAAAGAAAATGACAATTTTGAAAATACTGTTTATTTTTTTAAACTTCAAAATTATATAGATTTTTTTTCAAAAGAAATATATAACAAAATTATTTTTAAAAGAATTTTATTTAGGAAAATACTTTTAATTTTTTCAAAATTTCTAAGAATTCTAAATTTAAAATTCATTTTTAATTTAATTCTATAATATTTTATATTTGATATTAATATAAAAAACAAATTATTTGAAAAAAAAAACTTATTGTAATAATAATATTATAATATCTAATTATAAGTGTTTTTTAATAAATAATTATAAGTAACTTATATATAATTTATAAAATATATCTTTTTATATTTTTTTTAATTCAAATTAATATATAAATATTATTATAAAATCAACTTTCTATTCAAACATTATAAAATATTTAATTTATAATTGATTTTAATTTAAAAAAAAATAATTTAAGATATTTTAGAATCTTTGATATAAAAGCTCACTTTTTTTTAATTTTCTATATAAGAATAAATCAAAATTTTAAATTATTCAAAAAAAGAACAATTCTTTTTATTTATATTATTGAATAAATCAATATATAATATTTTAATATTAATATTCTTATATTGAAATAATATTACACTTTTAGATTTTCTCAATATTTCAATCTCTGTTTTGAATAAAAATAATATAATGATATCTTAATAAAAAAATTTAATGAAATATAATTATTAATTAATTATTAATTGAATTTAATATATCATTTTGAAAAGAAATAAAGATGTATAAGATACAGGGTTGTAAGAGTTGAGGCCCCGGCTTATCGCACACCACCCTTTTTCGTAACAAAATCCCCGCAAAAATACTGTTTTCCCATACAAATTAATTATTTTCATAATTCTTTAACTATTTGATGAATTGATTTGGAAATTATATACATAAGAAATAACTATATAAAGAATACTCGATTTAAATTATTCCTTGAAATTATAAAAATTGATAAAGTTATAGGTTTTTAAAGTTGAAATTTTTCAGAATTTATAACATGTAATGCTTTTCCTATACAAAAAAACCACTTTTTTCAAGTTTTTTAACAATTTCAATTTTAAGAACCTATAACTTTATCAAAAAAATAACTAAAAATATTTCATTGATTTTTTTGAATCATTTCAATGATTTGTAATCTTATATATTATTTTTATAAACTTAATTTATAAATTGATTGAATTAATATATAGTTTAAAAGTTGAAGAAATGAGGGTTTTTGGTGTGTTTTCGCTTAATATGCGATAAGCCGGGGTTTAAAATCTTACAAGATGTAGGGATATCGGTTAGAGGCTAAAGAACGCAGTTAAGGAGGAGGGTATAAATATAGATTCCTTTCGTAGCTTAGCTCTCTTTTCTCTTCATAATTTACAACATCAATACTAATATTAGAGTCCTGTAGTTTTTAGCCTCCACACCGCGACAATAATCATTATAACCTGATATATTTCAAAATTAACTCTTTACTAATGTAATTTATGAATTTTTAGAAAATTCCTATCAATTTTCATTTAGTGAAATAATACTTAATTATTCAAAATGGAATATCAAAAAAGCCTGAGTTTTAGTATCTTTCTAAAGTATATGGGGTTATACTATATAAAAAGTCCTAATAAATCAAATTAAGCGATATCTTATTATATAAGAGATAAAGAGATTCTCTCTTTAAAAGACAGCTCGAGCTCTCTTTAATGGCTTTCCCGAAAATATAGTGGCGATAACAAATACTCAGAATACATCAAGGGACAGTAGAATAATTTACTGATCTTATTGATTCAAAGAAGCATAGCGACGCTACAGACCAGGGTTATTTGTCTTCTTTCTAATGCTAGAGAAACCGAAGGCTCGTTCACGTCTTGGGCAGATATGACCATGGGGAAAGGGCGGAGAGACTGTTTTGATTTTTACAGCGGAGAGGGTCTGGTATTGGATTAACCTTAAATCTAAGATACAGCATTATCGAGATCGACTACATCCTCATACATCTTCTCCCTTTGAAGGGTTTATCAGCTCTTCTCACAACCGTCAAGTGATGAGTCAGACCTTTCCTATCTGTCTCGGTGACCTAGTGCTTGCCTCCCCAAAAGAGGGGTGACCTGAGATCGTTTGACAACAAGCACGTATCTACTTTGATTTTAAGTGCAAAGAAAAAGCTGCTGTTGATTGTGGACAAAGAAGGTTTCCTTACCAGATCGAAAGAAGTGGCCATTTCGAAGCATGTTTTTGAAACAATGAAACAGTTATAGAGTAGTTACGTGTCAACTATATCTACCATAAATAACATGAAGGTCTTGAGGCATTACGAACCAGAGCCGTGGTTACGTCATATGCTGGCACAAAATTTGGAGCACTAGTACTGTGGGCAGTCATCATTTCCAGATAGTACACACATGATGGTAGTAAATGACGGGTACAGGATGGTATTAACTATACGAGTATCTAAGATATAAGGAAGAAAGGAGAATAAAGATTATGTCAATACTAGTAAGATCTAGGTTCTGCCCAATATGCGTGATCAAAGTTTCCTTGCAAAGGCTGACCTGGATACCTCCAGGTTCATCAGCAGAATCCTTGAAAAATCCACAAATCAAGCTCAAAACGATAACTATGAAAAAATAAGCTTTCAAGGCACAACTTTGTAGCCACCACAATTGAATACTAGAAGGCTTGATATAATTGTTGGGACAACTTACACTATATCTGTGTTGATCGATGACGGTGGGTTCAGACTCTCCTAAGCACCAAGGTATTCGATACAAGCAGAAGCCACACCGAGACCCGATGCTACAAACGGTAAAGCACACGAAGCAAAAGTCAGGATGATGGGCGGAATCGTGGCTCCTGCTGTTTCGGCCGCAGTTGCAGCTATTGCGGCGTAAGCTGTGGACGCACATGCCGCAATCGGACCAGTTGCACCTGCTATGGCCGCACCAATACAGAGCACACAAGCAATGTCCGATAAACAGGAAACTCTGTCTGCGACTTCAGCGTCATCAAGCTTCAGCTTAAGAACCGTCTCTTATCTGGTGACTTGTGTGTCACCCACGGTTTGAGCTGCATTTAATCGCTTCTCAGGCATGTCTTAAAAATTGAGAAGTTCCTGCATCACCGAGGAACACGCGTTCCTTGGTCACTGGCGACCACGCTGCCACATCTTCGGTGTACTGATTAAAGGTGACAGCCCACTTGGTCGCATCGATGTTTACGTAGTCGGTGGTGTTCATCAAATCAGTGACATCACCAGCTTGGACACCGAGATAGAGAGCGATTGTGGCTGGGCTATAAGCAGAAGAAGCGGCCGAGGCTCGGTCGGCAACAGAGGCGACGAGAAGACATTTGACGAAGCTTTATAGACGCATTATGATATTGGCCGAGCAGGAATAAATCTTGAGAAGACTGAAAGATAATAAATGGGGTGGATGAGGTGAATGAGATGAATGAGATAAATGAGATAAATAAGATGAATAAGATCAATGAATAGATTCTGATGTATATAGTAGTCATAAGAGAAATTCATCGGACAAATTCATTGGACAACGGACTTCATCTTTAAGCCTTATGAGCAATAAAGATCATGTAACCGTCGGGTAATGAGCGAGGGTCTCGATTGCGAAGCGTTCGACTCCTAGCCGGGATAAGCAATCGCATAACATCAAAAAAACGCACATGAGTTAAAGCTTAAATCTCACTTCTAATTTCATTAATATATCTTCAAGTTGAACTAATTTTTTGTAGAATCACTAATATCTCATTTAAATAAGTAATGTTAGTTTGAGAAGAGTACGTATGACCTAGATCCTAGAATGTAAGTTCCATTGTCAATGTGTACTTGATCCAATGAGCTAGCTAATTACAGAAAGAAGCAAATCTTGAATAGGCCTTGCCGTAGGACTAGCTCCTTTGTCATAGACTATGAATGACTTAAGGACTGAGATCTAAGGGTTTAGAAAGACCTTACGAGGTGTACCCTAAAGAACTAAACTGCAGGGCTTGGAGAAAATCAAAACCCGTAGGCCGTGCTTGTTTTCTCCTAAGCGCGGCGCTGCATGGTATGAGCGTAGGCTCTACTAGCGAGCTATCAAGATACGAGCTTATCTCGTATATCATCCAATCAGGTTATAGAATCGATCGAGAGATCTACTAGTATTACTTCTAGAAGTCTAATTAAAATTGCGTATTCCAGTCGGTAACGTTCGCTTATACGCAAGCTAGCAAGGAACCCCGGAAAATCCGAAAAGCTTGTTGCAAATCATAACCTTATAGCGATGTCGCTCTTTACTCAACCACAATGAATCTGATATCAGGTTCGACCGATTTAGCAAAAGTTGACACGGTGCGATAAGGAACACCTAATCGGATAAATTATTTAGGTGACGTTCAAGACCCTTGTTTCAAGGTACTATCATTTGGAAACTTATTATTGGCGGACAATCGAACTTTTGTCAATGTAGCATTATCCGACAGGAGCGCATCTGCGGATGTACGTGAGCGGCTACATAACCTTATTGGGCATCATCATGGGTAATACTTCGCTAACATCCTTTCGCATAACTGAATTAAGCTTCAACATAGGAGCCTAATTGAACTAATTGCATCCACAAAATACACCAATCTAACTAGTTGGTGAGTAAGAAAGATTTGGGTCATGACTCGTAACAATTTATATCTAGCTATCGTGCTATGTAAGAGTGACACGAGGTTCCAATGTGGCTTTTCTAATCCCATTCATCTGCTATAAAAACCGGGCTCAATACTAGTGGTTATAGTCGTCGACTCTGATTCGACCGCTTACTCTTCAAATACGATATAAGTCCTAAATAAGTACCCATGTTTTTCGAACTCTTCCAAAGCCAGATTGACCTGTGGAATGCCACTACTATCGCGCGCAGGAGAAGAGATTAAATTTTGGGTAGATTAGAAAGGACTTTGGGGAATGAGGTCCCCGATTTTATGATTCATTGGGGAGCAACTATATTGTTAAATGCAGGCCTTTTATTAATCCAATGCGTCGGGTTCGTCGGGATTGCTTTAATCGTGTAGCCTTAAATATATTGTTCCGAATCATCTCTGGCGTACTAGCTTTCTCTCCAAGCGATGTTGTGCGAACCCTGCTGTTAGTTTCACTCGCTTCCAATTTGAATTTATCAGTCCTCCAGTGGAACCCAGTCCATCTGGCCATCCCATTCATAGATAAGATAAAGTTTATATTAGGCTCCGTGTAGTGTATACAGATGCACCTGGTCCCCAATCTTTAGGCTTAAACCCTATATCAACCGTAGAATGATAGGTTCTTCTATGATCTGGGACCTTCGTTCACATTTTTCGGGAGTGAGAGGTTCAGGAACGGGTCGAGGTACGTTTGATGAGAGTCTTTGATAGAGTTTTGATTCATCAGCGGTATCGGTCACCAGAGTCTAGCATAGCTGATCAAGTTCTAAGCTACGCTACAGATAATTTCCACAAATAGTAATTGAAGTATAAAGGTATTCTTTCTTCCTCAGAACATATTCTTCATCCTCATCAGTATCACTCACTTCTCCAACAAACTCAACAATATTACACTTCCTCTCTCTCTCTCTCTCTCTACTACCAAGCGTTTCACTATCGCCATCCACTATCGCCAGTAAGTCCCTTTATCCTCACTTGCGCAGTGGATGGTAGCCCTGTTACTTCATCAACAGAAGTTGCCTCTTATTACACCTATCTATGCATCACCATTCTTGGGTGCCAGCATTCTGTCGCACCGGGATTGATCGATGACGAGATGATTGGCAGCTGCCTCAACTGCCCTCCCTCTGCATTTGTCAATAGTGGTAAGAGCATCGGGGAATGTCTTATTGTCGCTCAGTAATCAATTTCCTAGAGCAAGCAGACATGCGATCTTAGATGATGGATTAGATGGACAAATTAGGTGGACTTCTTTTTCTTGCTTCGGACATTGGTCTTTACTTTCTTGGGATTAGAGATTTGAAATTGGGGTTGGCTGTATGCATGGGATTGATAGTAATAGTATGGATAGATTCAAAGTGTAAAATACAATGAACACTATTCTCGACAATCGGCTCAAAAACTAACCTTCAAAATGTGCTTCTTCGACCTTATTAATCCTTTCCTGGAATCAGCAAATTCGAACAATTAACAGTAACGACACTCGACTAGGAGTGGGTTATGTCATAATTTGAATCACAAAAATCATAATTTCTATTCAAGCTTATCCTATATGCTACGGGGTGATCTACAAATATTCTTCCATCTCCCCTTCTACTCAATCAATTTGACACTTAGATAGTCATCACGCTAACCTTAAGCTAAGACTGGCTTGAAATAAACGACCTCCTGTTATGAAAAAGATAAAGGGGTCCTTAAGGATCTCTGTTCTCTTCAGATTTCTATTTCCAGTTTATTTGACCTCTACCTATGCGCTCTAGTGTGTAATCGTAACAAATAAGTCTGTTAATTAATTAAAACTGACGCGGTTATATAATCATTTGCTCGAGTTACAAACCTATCAAATAATGAGATTCAAGAGCAATCTCATGATTGTGCGATTATGAAATTGTGCTGTAATATGTAATGGAAAGTCACCATCTGTAGTGCTAACTCGAATTTTATCACTATTTGTCCCAAATAACGCCATGGCTACATATTTGAAGTCTCACTGCTCATACAAAGGGTCTGAAAAAATTATAGTAATAACAGTGATTTATTTAAACTTCGATACTTAACAGATAGGCTGCGCACAAATTATCTGTATTCGTGGATTATCTACAAATAATCTACTTTATAGGTTATTCATCAAAGGTTTTACTCACTTTATGGATTATTTATTGAGGCTTTAAAATTATCTATTTTGTATAAATAATCTACAAATTATTTGTAAATAATCCATCTACTTATAAATAAATGAATTATTTATGGATATATAGATTATTTATAGATAATTTGTGAATTATCTATAAATAATTCATGAATATATAGATTCTCCGAAAAAAATGAAGAATCTCTGTTTTTTTCGCTTAAAATATGAAGCTATTTCTAAATTAATTATAAAATTATATTAATATTATGAAAGATTATAAATAGTTATATAATATATGAATAAGTGAATATCTGCGGGTAATTTGTATTTATTCTATAAGTTACTTGTTCAGATTTTGAATTATTTGCTCTATAAACGGATTATCCGCGGATTATCTGTCAAGGTCATTATCCGCCCCGCGGGTATCCGTTGCACAGCCTATTGACAGATTCCCCAAAATGAACCTTTCCTAACAAGTGATAGCACAAATTCTAGCTCCTCTATCCCTGTCTAGGCATCCCCTAAGAATATCTCCTATTCTCCGTTTACTTAACAAATCAAGCTGTCGGTTTACAAACATCATCTTCCTTATCTAGATCCCCATGCGCTAGAGCCCTCCTATCGAGTATAAAAGTGTGATCTTGAAACTTTGAGATGATGGCTAGATACAGTGTTGAGGAGAAGAATAAAAAGAATTAGCGATTGTTCATTTTTTCTACTTATCCTCTTCTTTTTAACTTTGAAAGAGGATAAAAAGAGAAAGTTAAGATGATACATAGTAAAGCTTTCCGCATTCTTTCTGGCAACATCCACTTCTGCATCCTCGGCTACATGATGCCATCCATATGAAATATCTCCGAATTGATCTTTCGCTAACGAGGAGTTAGTTTCTGCTTCTCCCATTCACACTAAAATTGAAGAAAAGGGGTTATAACGAGATGAAGAATCGTCTGGTATTTGATATCTAGAGTATCAAGTTAGCATCTTCCCTCTCTCGAAGCTTCCATTGGGGTGAAGAATAAGTTCAAAATATCTTACTTCATGTAACAACAATGCGGTGAAAGTAGATGTGATGAAATTGATAGGTCTAGGATTTAAATACACGTTCGCGTAGTCGAAATTCTTGGGGATATTGGAAAAGAGGTATCGAGCCAATTTATTGAATCTAGGATCGGCTTGCGCGTCTACTTCGTTGAATGCGTGGCCGTAGAGCTAGGGAAACAGTCAGTTGGATAGATATGATGTTATAGGGTAGATTGAAACGAATGGGATGAATTATATACAGTAGAATCATCAAGGATGTATTGGAGGACTCACTGTAATTGTCGCCCGATTGGGGTTATGGTTAGTTTTTGGAGTACCGGGCTAGACAAATAGTCTGTCTTGGCTAAGTCGTGGGAAACTTACATGTAATTGCACTCACACCAGCATCTTAACAATAAGGTTTTGGTGTCGATAAGTGATTCTCAGTATCTGGAAGCTGCCTCCGATATTAGTCCTCTACTTAGGAAATACAGATTTCATTGCAATAGGAGACCCATATCAGATGACATGATAAAGCTGCTCACCTTTCCATCTCATTTCTCCATCTTCTGTTTTCTGAACCCATCGTGTGTCATTATCACAATCTAAATGAAAAATATCAGAACCTCTTATAAACTCCCCAAACCTCAAAGAACAAAACCCACAAAACCTAAGATCAGCATTAACCTGCACCTCCTCATGCCTCATTCCCTTCAAAGCCAAGAAATATTTTCTCAGCGCCAATGCCGTCTGTTCATCCTCATCAACCCCATTATTGACATTCTGAGTATCCTGTCCGAAAAGAACATTGAATGCCCTAGTAAAATATGGACCTCGTCTTGCATTCATCAAGCGATCTCCTGCATTTTTTCCTTCTGCTCTGAGTTCGTCGAAAAGGATAGCCAAGCGATGAGTACTACCTCCAAATATGGGTGTACCATTGGCTGCTTCGAGTGGTTTTCCTGGATGCAACATTTGTCGAGCCAGTAGGTGAGTGCTTGGGTATTGTAGGGCAGGAGAATGACAGCGGCGATGAGAGATGGGAAATTCATATGGGGTCTTTTTGTTGAAAGAGGAAAGCGAACAAACAATGAGGAAAAACAAGACAATATCTAAGTATAGAGATGCAAAATTATTTAGAATAGTCGAGTTAATACCTGGAACTTGCAAAGTCTTTTTAATATATTCTCATCCATATCAACTCTCAACTGAAAGACACCGCAGTATGACGAAGAATATTTCTCACTTAAAAAAAATGGACAATTTTCCCAACTCTTTCCAATGGTTCAATCGGTTCCACAAATCTCTTCTCAATCAGCCCTTTCATCTCAAGTTTTACATACAGAAAAACACATACAAACTCAATTCCATAGACATCGCCTTCGAATTCTACAAATCGCTGATCTATTTCCATAACACCCATCCGTCAAATGAATAGCGTTACTCAGCCGCCTCCCAATTCACCATCATCTCTCAATCCATATATCTCAAGACACAGAACCCTCTCTCCATAGTCTTGACCGTCATCATCCACCAAATACAAACAAGCAAAGCCGACGTTTTGGATCATATATTTAAAGATCCCCACATCTCAAAATAAGCGGTGACAAGCCCCTGACTAATTCCCATCCCAGTATCCCCATTCGTCCGCTCTTATTTCCCCAATCTCGTGGCGTAATACTGCGAAGCTAAGCCTCGTACTTTCAGATTAAAGATTGGCCTTAAGGCGGTTCATTATCAGCCCTATCCTCGTGAGACCAAAATTTAAAACTTTGTTTGTTATAGACTGGATTATATTTGTTTTGGTTCTCTAGATCTGTAGATCTGGATGAACTAATTCACACAATAAAAGCTTATACTCTCAATCTCGAGCTTCGATTTGGTATACTTTTCCCCACCAAAACCGGCATATGGCTTTTGTGGGTTCATAGGGTATGCTTCTACTAAAATGCTTGATTCGTTCTCGAAGTGCGGGAATGGATGCTTAAAGTTAAGCTTAGACGCTCTTGGTTTTTGAACTTCTCCATGAATAATATGGTGGATTTTTGAATAAGTGTGTCAGCGTGACTTTCCTTTTCTTCGTCATTTTGAGGTGGATAGCAGATGATGGAAAGCGTGGGGTTTGGGATGAAAATGTCAGATTGTTGATGTCAAGAGAGTTTTGTGCAGATGAAGAGATCGAGTACGTCTCGGCGGAGCAAGATCTTCTCGTTTGAATCTTTCATACACTCCGTGATGCAAAGAAAAGTATATCCAAATGAAAGCCATAAAGTCTCATCCAACTCCACCTCTTCCCATTCCCACATCTCCCAACCACACCTCTCCTACAAAAGTACCCTCAAAATGCATTTCCTATATCCCCCCCTCTCTTTCCTCTTCCTGTCTTCTTCCTCAACCCAACCACCGCCCATCAAACCCCTCCTCATTCCGCCCCCCCCCCAAACCCGGCCTTCCCCTCTCCTCAACCGATATCGATACCGCAATCGATGAATTCTGTAGAAATGGGGCTGAAATAAAAGGATATGGGAAACACGAGGAAAACATGTATGAATTTCCCGCGGAAGGACAACCGCAGTTTTACAATAATGATTTGTATAAGATGCATTTAACGATGGGGCAGAGACGGTGGAGAATGGGGGACTGGTGCCTTGTAAAAATATGGAGTGGCGTGGGTAAGTGATTTGTTCTTCTTATCTTGTTTTGATTGATTGATTGGAGAAGAGTATATCATATATTGACCAGAAAATTGGGATATGATTGGAAAATGGGTCGAGACGATTGTCTCTAAGCTTTGGGAAGAATTTATCAAGATTGTGCGGATGCCACAGTAAGGATTCAGGGAGGTACATATACTTATCGATGTGTGAGATATAAGTCATGCATATTAACACTCGAGATTCTTAGGAGTTTTGAATTACAACGAGGTATTCGTAAGAGAAGAAAACAGGCGGGATTTGATTATTCAAATCTCTATTGAAATCTTCTGAATTAAACAAATGAAAAATTATTTACAAATGATTTACATAAATTCAATAAGATTATAGGAAATAACAGCTTCTGGTTCTGTGTATTGTTTAAGAGGAGTAATCGAGTTAAGATATCAAAGAAATGGTCAAATTCCATCTATTTTTCTCTTATGAATGGAACGAGAGAAGTATAATCATTAAAGTATAATAATTGAGGTGTAACAAGGGAAGAATAAGAATTGAAGTATAATAATCAAAGTATAACAATCCAAGCATCACAGTCGAAGTACATCAACTACTTTGTCTCGAAAGCGAGAAGAGATAAAACGGGATGAAGATGACTACTAAAGATTGCCAGCATTTCAATATCCCGGATCGGGATACAATCTTACATTATTATGAAAACTTTTTCACATCACCAATTTCAATTTTCACAAAAGCTTCGAAATTCCAAAACCTCGAATTAAATCATCATAAAAAATTCTCATTTTCGCATCCGAAGTCTTCGCGTTCGCTTGCATAGTAACAAACTATTTCGCAGCAACTAAGTATCATAACCCTCTCAACCTTCCTTTAAACTTCCCCTTGCTGAATCACATATGCAATGCTACCCCCCTATCACCATCCTTAACTCTTCACCTCCCTAACCTCTAATTCTTCTTCGCATCCTTCAAACCCAACTCCCTATAAAACGCTTCGGTACTAGGTTTCCTTCCTAGAAACGCCTCCAGGGTAGTCATTTCATCCTGACTACCACCCTTCTCAAGCACCATATGTCTATATCTCCGTCCCTCCTTAGGATCCATTGGATTCTTTTCGAATACCGTGTAGAACATATCTGCACTATAGACTTGACTAGACAAGTATCCATAATAACCTGCATCATACCCACCAATCAAATGGCCAAAAGTAGCTTGACCATTGCCCCAATCACTCTTTGCACCCAGAGCTTCTGGGCCTTTGAGACCACAGATTTCTGCTCTAAGTTCATTGTACAATTCGCTGATTTTGAATGCTTCGGCTTCTGCATGGTCCTTAGGAGTATGAACTGTCATATCGAAGATACCAAAGTGAAGTTGTCGGAGATTGAAAAGAGCGCCGTTAACATGTTTGGTGCTAATTTGTTTGGCAATCAAATCATCTGGAATAGATTCACCAGTAACATAATGTTTACTCAATTTTTGCAATTGACTTGGAGTCCAACACCAATTTTCCAACATTTGACTTGGTGCTTCGACAAAGTCACGCACAGTGTTTGTACCATGGAAACGAGAGTATCTGGTACGACCAGCCAAATCATGGATACCATGACCCAATTCGTGGAAGAGAGTAACAACCTCATCGTGTTTCAAGAGAGATGGTTTCTTATCAGTTGGTTTGGAGAAATTGCAAACGAGTGCTGTAGCAGGATATCTTCTTGTTCCATTTGGATAGTAGAAACCAGATTGAATGCCAAAGTTTGCAGCATGGCCATACTTTCCTGGACGTGGATGCAAGTCCAAGTAAAGATAACCAACAAATCCACTACCTTCACCTTCATCATCCCAAACGGTAAAGAGTTTGGCATCTGGATGAGGTAAAACATCAGAACCCTTTCCAGTTGGTGAAACCTTAGCTAGTTCCTCCTCGCTGCTGATATCAACAAAGACGAATCCAAATAACTCTTCGAAGATCTTAAGCATTCCTTCAATTGTAGATTGAAGAGGGAAGTATTCCGCAATCTTATTTTCATCAATAGAAAACTCATTCTCCACCATCATTCGATCATAAAATCGATTATCCCAAAGATAATAATTATCATCAAAAGTCGAACTCAATCCTCTAGCATCCAAATCTTGTTTCTTAAGAGCTTTGAGATGTTCGACTTCCTTAGCTCCACCCGGAGTAAGTTGGAGCTTCAAATCATGCAAGAACTCATTGACCGTAGCAGGAGTCTTTGCCATCTTATCCTCAATCCTGAAGCTCGCATGATCAGGATAACCCAATAATCTAGCAGCCTCATCTCTAAGAACAATAGCTTCTTTGAACAATTCCACATTCTCTTTACACTTGTTCTCATTCTGGATAAAGACTTGTTTTCTGGTTTCCGCATTCTTCGCGAACTTCAATGTAGGGAACAAATCAGGGTATTTGAACGACAACCTCAATTTTCCCTCATTTTCCCCCTCACCCTTCTTCAATCCCGAGATGACGTCCTCAGGAACTCCATCAAGTTCTTTCAATGTGAACCAGATTCCTTCATCCTCCTCGTTCAGATTCTTCTGGAATTTAGTCGCAATAGCAGCCAACCTCTTACTAATCTCCTTGAATCTATCCCTCTTCTCTCCCTTCTCAAGCCCCAATCCATTTCTAATATATCCTTTATATTCCTTCTCCAAAAGTCTCTTCGATTCGGGATCTAAATCTTCTTTCTTCTTGTAAACCGCATCGACCAATTTAAAAACATCCTCTCTCATTGCCATCTCAATCTGCGCTTCATCCATAATTTCCTCCGCTTTCGAACTCGCATCACGGAGTTTCGAATCGCCGGATACAGCTTGGTAGAAGGTAAGAACGCTGATTTGAAGCGAATCAAGATCATCTTGGTTGGCGGTTGGCAAGAGAACGTTTGCGAATGTTGCATCTTCCGGTTTGACATTTGCAACGATATCATCGAGCATTTTTCGATAGTTGTCCATCAAGGCCTTTGCCTCGTCGACAATCTGGGATTCGGTATGAGTAAAGAGAGGAGGAGCCTGAGGAGGCTTTTGGTATTGAGAAGGTGCCATGGTTGCGGTAGTGATGAGTCGTGTTGAGGTTGGATTGATGGTGGTTGAGAGAGGGGACCAGAGGGGTCTTGTATTTGTAGGTCTGAGTTGACTAAATAAAGCTCCCAGTCTGGGTCCAATCCTTGAGGTAGCCAGAATGACAGATATGGAAAGAAAGATGAGCAGTAGTACAGTGAGGGAACGTATGATACGTGTGATGGAAGCCAGGATGAATGAAGTTGGTTGGGTATTATAATCCCTTGGTGATTAATTAGGCGTTTAAGAGCTGTCAAGAATGGAAGGTATGACAGATATGTATGTTGGTGGGGAAGAGAGCGTGGGTAGAGACGTATTGAGTCAGTGAATGTGTGAGTGAGTGTATGTATGTACTTATTTGTAACCTTGGAAGCATCAAAAAGTACTCGAGAGGGCTTTTTGAAAGTTATGAAGGGCAGATGAATTCTTTATAATGTTGGATACCAGAATTTCAGAATTTCAGAATTCTAGAAGTCTCAGCTTGTCAATTCAGGGTCGTACGGTACCTGTGCTATGAATGCGGAAAGCAAGGGATATTCATACCCGAGAATATGGGGTACCCAGGTACTTTTACAAGGCAAGTAAATCAACGTCTTTACTATCTAGAAATCAATGGGAATCTTTGCTTTTTCTCTATTTCCATCGATATTATATTAAATGCCATAATTTTATGATATAAACACTCTCTCCTCCCAATCAGTACAATCTCCCCCACCACCTCTCCTCATCCTCCTCCCCCATCCTCCTCCCCCATCCTCCTCCCCCATCCTCCTCCCCCTTCCTCCTCCCCCATCCTCACTCCCAAACTCCCACCCCCGTCCCCAGAACCTCAGCATCCCCTTCCAAAACCTTCTTCCCACTCCTCATAACCGCCGTACTGATCAACGACCCCCTCAACAAATACAAAATCTTTCCTTCAAACCCCTCTTCCCCTTCAACTTCCTTCCCCTTGTCACCCCCATTCCCCTCCCCCCCACACCTCATAGCCAACCGCCACCGCACACCGTCCACATTTCCACACTCCTCTTTTCTCAAACCCATCTTCTTTCCGTATAATCACCTGTTTACTAGGTTGCGTAAGAGAAAGAAGATTTGTATACCCATAACTTGGTAATGGTTCCTGCTCTTCACCATCCTTCACCTCCTCTCCATCCGCGGATATCCCCTCTCTCGTTATATCCATCGCATCCCCATCCCTCTCCCTTCCTTCTCCCTGTCTTCCAAATCCAGGCGCCACCCCCGAAACCGGCAAAATAAAACTCCCATCTCCCGTTCCTTTCCTCTTCGGAAGCGTCGAAATCGTATGCGTCGTCGCCAGTAGAAGATTCGTACAGTAGGCGCAATGATATGTGTTGATTTCTGGAGGAGACATTGTGAGATCGTGAGCTCGTGAGCCTGCGATATTGTGCGCTTATGAGCTTGTAAACTTATGAGCTTGCAATCCTACAATACCCCAAACTTCCACCCCCTCTTTCCAAATCCCAAATTCTGAATCCCAAATCCTCAATCGCAACTGATCCAGGAACCCAGATTCTCAAATCCGCAGCCTCTCAATAAATCAATAAACCACAGCCTCTAACGAACGTCAATTCGTCGCAGATTGTCGAAGATATCCGTTCAGCCGTGCAATGGCGCAAACCCTCAAAATCTCCTTCGAAGCCAGGCACTCCGATATAACCCAACCCAACCCAATCTCAGTCTGAATCTGAATCTGAATCTCTGAATCCAAAGCTCCTTTACACTCGAATCCAAATCCAAATCCAAATCCAAATCCAAGCCCGAGGACAATTCTTTCCTATATGATTACTGATGTCGAATTTGTTGATCGTTATTTTGAGATATAACAGACTCGTATTATTCTACTTCCTTGTTCAGTAGTCCAAGTTATTGGTGAGTGCGAAAAAAAAAGTACAAGTTCCGTTGTCAATATCAGAAAGAAATAAGTTATATTTTTATTTACAACACAAAACAACCCAGAAATACCACAGCCTCGAAGCTAACACTTCAGCCTTCTCCTGACATCCCATCCCATCCCATCCCACCACAACTAGCCTACCAGTGGTTAAGAAACCCAACATCAATAACACTTCATCTACATCTACATCTACCACTATCTCCAATCAAAAACACACTCAAATATTCACAACATGCTCATCACAAAATCTGTACACTTCAACTTCATCAAGAAAAAAATCATAATATCCATTTCTGCCTTTGCAGGCCTAAAAGTTCATTCAACGCCATAGCCATAGCCATTATCAATATCCTTCCTTCCACTCCACAGCTCCTATTGATGCCGTCGCGAAAAAGTAATTCCTACAACTGATATGATATCTTCGTTTCTCCTTACTTGTATATCTGCCTCTCTCTCTGCCTTTCCCATTGCATCTCCACTCTACTCATCTCCCAGTAATATTCAACCCCCCTTCCATAACAAAGTACAAAATCTAGTTTGCGAGGATAGTTCGTACGAGATCTATATCCATAAATTAGCATTCTATATTCCCACTGCATCTCCCCTCCAATATATCTTCGCCAAAAATCCTCAAAACTCACCAGTATAATTAATCTCCCCACTACTAGTATCAACCGCCTTCAACAATTCATCAACCTCCTCATCACTCATTTTCTCTCCCAAATTCGTCAAGATGTATCGTAATTGTCCAACGCCAATAAATCCAGTCATATCCTTATCGAAGACCTGGAAACCACGACAGTATTCTTCTGGTTCACCTGGGTCGCGGAATCCACCTGGGCGGTTGAGAATCTTGGAGAAGGTTTCGAAATCGACTGTGAGGATGAAGTATTAGTATATAATCCATAACTTGATGTTGAGAGGAAGCCCTATCAATAGCTTTGCGCGCCACGAAAATTATTCGCAGAATATCAAAACCGAGAAAAACATCCTCGAATCCTCCTCATAATCAACAAAATAACTCACATTCACCACCAACATTCTTCTCCAACTCTCGAATCTCATTCAAAGTAGGATTCTGACCACACGCTCTCAACAAATCTCCCAGTTGATCCAATTGCACACGTTGAGTACCGCGTTTATCGAAGAGTTGGAATGCTTCTCTGTAGTTTGTGGAGGCCTGCGCATCGTATGGAGGATTAGTTGATGACATTTTAGATATCTTGAGATTAATATCCGCAACAATAGAATGGAGTAGAGTTGTGAAGTAAAGTAAAGGGATGTGAGAATGTTGTTATGCAGTACAAATTGTCTGGTATTGATGTCCCCCAACGTATTATAATGCGCCGAGCCATCAAATGGTGAATAAACCCACAAACAGACAGTTTACTACTAGGTATCCGGCATTGTTGCTTTTGCAACCGTATATGAGCGGGCAGTAACAAACCAGAATGAGAACCAGCAAATCGGAAGCAACGCTCAAATTGGAACACCATTCAAGCAAGGAATGGACAGGAATGCATAAGATATGTATGTCAGGGGAAACGAAACAAGGGATAGAAAAACTCACCATTTTGAATATGATTTGGGGGTGTCCTTGAAGTGTGGTGTGAGAATTGAAGATATATCAATGGAGTCTGTAAGTGTAGAAGGTATGATTAGAAGAAGAGAGATTGTAGCTCTAGAAATCTGATAACTTTGGTCCGTGCCTAGTATTATGTTTATGCCAGCCAGCCTCTCATCTATTTTATTCGTATGGGATGTGTTGTTCCTTCAGCATAATTATTAGAGTGGATCGAAGTGAATTTTTGGCAGGGCAACCAGGATTTGGAAAATGGTATTAAGGGGGGCTCAGCGAGGAGTCTCCCGGTGAGTAGTGTTGTTATTTCTCAATTTTTTTGACTATAAATAACATTGACAAACCAGATTCCCAATTCTTCATTAAATATCTCATCATTTCAAAAGTTACTCACAAGTTTGAATTTATGAAATCACATCAAAAGTGACCAAACATCGAAGTCTCCCTTGATTGACATAATAGGGCATAAAGAGCACCCCAATTTATGTAATGTGATATCCCGAGTTCGATTAATCGGGTTTACATTTCTCTTCACCCCCAATTGTACCAATGAGAAGAGGGTGAATTAATATGAACCCCCGATTAACCAAGGAATATCTGCCTCCATAGTGCTTCATATATAAAAGTATGTACTTGACTATTCGTTCGTTCTATCAATCCTATTCAAAATCCCATAATACTATGATTCGGAATAATCTACTCGAGAACGTGTGTAGTCTTTCCATAGACCGAAGACTCTGGCCAACGGGAGTACCAATGAACACCATCAAAAAACCCCCTTAAGAGTATGTCATTGCCGTTTTCATGGTGCGAAGGAATCTACTAGATATGTAGGTCAGAAAGCTGCATCTTATCGTAGATTTTAGAAGAAATAAGTATCTACACTCTGCTTAATTGCTCTATGTATAGATATTCAGGAGCGACGGGAGTTAATTCATTATGAAGCTGCGCGCAACATCCTATATCAAAACTCATCCAGAAAGGCCAACTTCTATCACACCCAATCCCAAATTCTTATTCCAACCATCACCCATAACCCCCCCCCCCTCCTATTTCTTCCTCGCCAACAAAATAACGGTCCCCCACTCCGTCTCCACCTCTACATCCCTCCAGTCTTCACCCTCCTTCCCTCTCAACTTCGGTTCTATCCTCAACATCTCCTCAAACATCTCATCAATCACATCACCCTTTCCCTCCTCCCCCACTTCCCTTTTCTTCCTCTCCTGATTCTCCCTCTGCCACCCGTGAAACGCACTAAACGTCCTCCAATACCCCTCCAACTCCCCCAACTTCATTCTCCTCCCCATCACCACCCCTCCCTCCGCAATCCCCTCTCCACTCTTCTTCCCCTTCAATCCCGGCTCATACCTCCCCCACTCCACATCCCTAAATACCTCCTCCAACGGCCTCATCACCTCATCCCTATACAACCCTCTTAGTCTCTCTCTCCCCGGCTGTTCCCAAAACCTGCCCATATACCTCTCCCCCTCCCCATAACAAAACCTATCCAACACCTCCGTCGCCTCTGGAAAATCCACCAACAAATTATCCTTATACCCCCAAAACGCCAGGGTCCCTCCCTCCCTCAATTTCCTCCCCACCATCCTCCACACCCCCGGAAAATCAAACCAATGCGCCGCCTGTCCCGCAACCACCATATCCACACTCCCATCTTCGACAAAATCGAGATTTTCCGCGGATGCTTGTCTCCATTCTATATTTCCCTCGGCATCATTTTCTGATGCGATTTTGCGCGCTTGGGCTATCATCACAGCGCTAGGATCCGTACCGTACACTTTTTTAAAGTGCGGAGCAAGAGCTCGACTTACGACTCCGTGACCACATCCTAGATCGAGAAGGGTAGAGCGGGGCCCGACGTGATAGTTTAGGGTTTTGGTGTAGAAATTTTGGGGGTAGGAGGGGCGGAATGCGGCGTAGGAGGCTGCGGAGAAGGTTTTGTGTCTAGAGTTGAGGTTAGTAAGGTTATGGAGGAATAGAGGATAGATGAGAAAGGAGGAGAACTCACGCAAATGTAGCCATCTTAATACTTTGTGAATGACTTGAAGAAGATCAACGTGCTTGGAAGAATATATATCCCGTCTGTAGGAAATCAAACAATCTACCAATTCAATTCCTTCACCAATGGATCGAATATTCGCAATAACCTTTGACTGCTCAGGTGGTTGATTATCTCACTCCCCTCTTTCTCTGTCTCTTTCAACACCTACTAGGTAATCACCAATACAACACAACAAATCCAATCCAATCAAATCTCAAAACCTTTCTACAATATTCCTTCAACCGTAAAAGTTACATATAAATAATAAATAATCACCAAACTAGACAGTAATAATATCCTTTCAGAATCACACTCACAACCCCCATCAAAAGCACACCTCCACCTACTATTTATATCCTCATCTCCATCCCATCCCTTATCCTTTATCCGAGAATATGACATCAATCACATCTATCTACCTACATACCTATCCATTCCCCTCCTACAATTCTACCGACCAACCGAATACTCCCCTCCTCCGATCCAAACATGCGACACCGCACTCGTGTTTTGCGATATCGGATTTCTTCATTAGTTAATTCGGTTACGAAAGGATATCACAGGTGCGTTGTATTGATATACAATGCAGGCCTCTTCCCAAGAGCAAAAGGGCAGATTTCTTTAATTTTTGAGATTTTTGGAATTACTGATTAAGCAAAATTTGATTAAATAAGTATTATAAATTTCTTAATGAAAAATCTAACTTACATTTACCTCCTCTTGAAGTACCTCCTATTACTTTTCAAAAGACCTAACGTATTTCATTAGCGTATGAATTATATTATTATATAGACTACCTCATTTTACATAGAAAATTTG